TGGAGCTATGGCCGTATATGTATTGCTGTTTTGTTTGAGTCATCTAGCTGCTGGCACTATGACTGTTGGATCTTGGGAGTGTACGATTATCAACTTGGGAGATGCAGCATACCACGATATCCTGGCTTCGGCTGGCCTTGAAATAACCCTTTTGCTGTCCTCCGCTCTTTGCATCAGTGGCTTCCTAGGTTCGGGCGAGGACATGTGTGGAGCTATGGCAGTGTGTTTGTTGCTATGTTTTTTGAGTCACCTAGCTGCTGACACTTGGGAGTGCACGATTATCAAATTGGGAGATGCAGCATACCACGATATCCTGGCTTCGGCTGGGCTTGAAATAACCCTTTCGCTGTCCTCCGCTCTTTGCATCAGTGGCTTCCTAGGTTCGGACGAGGGCATGTGTGGAGCTATGGCCGTGTATGTGTTGCTATTTTGTTTGAGTAATCTAGCTGCTGACACGATGACTGTTGGATCTTGGGAGTGTACGATTATCAACTTGGGAGATGCAGCATACCACGATATCCTGGCTTCGGCTGGGCTTGAAATAACCCTTTCGCTGTCCTCCGCTCTTTGCATCAGTGGCTTCCTAGGTTCGGACGAGGGCATGTGTGGAGCTATGGCCGTGTATGTGTTGCTATTTTGTTTGAGTAATCTAGCTGCTGACACGATGACTGTTGGATCTTGGGAGTGTACGATTATCAAATTGGGAGATGCAGCATACCACGATATCCTGGCTTCGGCTGGGCTTGAAATAACCCTTTCGCTGTCCTCCGCTCTTTGCATCAGTGGCTTCCTAGGTTCGGACGAGGGCATGTGTGGAGCTATGGCCGTGTATGTGTTGCTATTTTGTTTGAGTAATCTAGCTGCTGACACGATGACTGTTGGATCTTGGGAGTGTACGATTATCAAATTGGGAGATGCAGCATACCACGATATCCTGGCTTCGGCTGGGCTTGAAATAACCCTTTTGCTGTCCTCCGCTCTTTGCATGAGTGGCTTCCTACGTTCGAGCGAGGGCATTTGTGTAGCTGAGATGTGTGTCTTCGTGAAAGATTGTTTGAGTAATCTAGCTGCTGACACGATGACTGTTGGATCTTGGGAGTGTACGATTATCAAATTGGGAGATGCAGCATACCACGATATCCTGGCTTCGGCTGGGCTTGAAATAACCCTTTTGCTGTCCTCCGCTCTTTGCATGAGTGGCTTCCTACGTTCGAGCGAGGGCATTTGTGTAGCTGAGATGTGTGTCTTCGTGAAAGAACATGTAGAGAGAGTCGTATTGGCAATCGCATCAAGCGCATCGCGCATTTTTCGGATTTTGGCCCCCTTCCAGGGACCTTGATTTTTACCCGCTCGCACTGACGTCTTTTAATTGGTCAGCCGGTTAGCGCGGTCGATGCTAATAATAAACACACAAACACACACACACCGAGAGCGCACCTACCATCGGGCATAGGAATGGGTGTTACAGTAAGTTGTGAGCCTGCCAGTAATCCAGGCAGTCGTTCAAATGAAGCAAGCATACTGGAAAGCAAATCATCGGCGAAGTTGGGTCCAGGGTTGTGTTGCTGTCTGCGTGCTCGGTGTTTCTGGTAATAATCTTACTTGCTGGACAACATAAGGACACTTCCCCGACTTGAGGACACACTTGTTAGCAAAAACCACGTTTGTCCTGAACTGCCGTTCGACTGCTGGCTGGAGTCGGCCAAGTTGGGGGCGAGGGTAGGGTTCATGGGGGCTGCGTGCTTGGTCATTTTCGTAACAACCTTTGGCAGTCCGAGCCTGCCGCATCTATCCATCACGATGCAAACGTCTGCGTTGCAGCTGCGCTGGTGCTCTTAGGCGGTGGAACATGCTTGTCGCCAGGTACCCCGTAGGTTGGTATACGCAAGACACCACGCCCCCTGGACCGATTTTCATGTAATACCTCCATTGCTGTAGGTTGAATAAGATATCACACCCTCTGAACCGATTTGAAAGCTCAATTTTTTTGTTCTTTTTTGTCCTCACTTCAAGTCAGCGCTCACTGCACTAGTGCCGCTTACTCCAACTCGTGGTCACACAGAAGAGCTCCTCTATACCCTCCCCTCCTTCGATACTTTGCCTTTGTTTTCTAACGCGAGAGGAGTTCAGCACTCTCTTCCCTCTGTGTACACACGAATGAGGGCTATCCACTAGACCAGGAGCGGAAGCGAGAGAAAAGCTAACGTTGCACCAGACGCTCGCTTGCGCCGGGATTCGAACCCCTGACCTGACGTCTTGCAGGTTTCGAGGATACCAACTAGAATCACCGGGGCGACTGGCTTCGAACACTCCACGGCGAACAACATGTCGACTTCATATGAGACGTTGTCAGAAAAGCCCTCCACGAGGCGGTGCCAATGCCACCATTCTCGGCACCGTCGCTGAGTACATGAGCCACCGGTCGCCCCGGTGGTCTAGTGGGTACCCTCGCAACCTGCTAAGGGTCAGGTCATGGGTTCGGGTCCTGACAGAGAGAGTTTTTTTCTCACTTATTAAATCCTGGTCTCCCTTGGAAGCGACGCGCTGCAAAGCTCGTTGTTAGTAAAACTTGATCGACTTCATAAGTCGTTCCTGAGTCGCGAGGGAAGGGATTGCTGTACCCTTCTCGCGATAAAAATATCTCAGGCAGAACCGCAGGAGGGGGTCCAACCCGCAGGAGGGGGTCCAACCCCCCCCTCCTATGTGACCCCGGTTGGGTCGTCTAGCTGGTACAAGTGGAGGATAGGGGCCAGAGGGCCAGACAACAAAGTCCAATGAAAGGAGAACAAAAAAAAAAAAAAAAGGGCAAGCTTTGAAAATCGGACGAGGGGGTGTGTGATATCTCACGCAACCTATTAATAGTTGTTTGTTGTCTGGCTGTCTGCCCATCTGCCGCCTCTTTGTCCTGTTTGCTCCGTTACTCGCATGCCCTGGTGCGTAGAGCCTGGCGCTGGTACGTTACCCTTTGATTTTTTCTTTAGGCGGGTGTGGGAAGCGTCCTTCTTTATTTTTGTTTTGATCGGTTTCCGAGGGCTCTTTTCTCGAACGGTCGGTACGATACCTGTTGTTTCGTTCTATTATTTTGTTTTCATTTTCCGAGTGGTTTGTACCCTATTTTTGTTCTGTTTCCTCGCGGCGTTGTATGTGCCGGGTTTTGAGACCACGGGCTCCCCATTATTTGTGACTATAGAGCTAATGTGAGAAACAACAACAACACACGCAGCACTGGCATCGTGTTTTTCTCCGGTGGTTGACCGGTGACCTTCAAGATTTCAAGAAAACATGTTGAAACGTCAGGGTACAGGTTGAAATAGACCCTAAATAAGCCCAAGTGTCCAGCCGTTTGTCCTCCCTCTCGCTACTGTTAAGACTTCAACGCGTCCCTGTCGACTGCTGTGGTATTATCTCGAACAGGTAGACTTTCTGTGAGATGATGTGCATTCTTCAAGCATACAAAAACATCTTGGACACACAGACGGAACAATTAAGACTAGGGGGGATGTTATTTTCCGTCACACGACGCGGCGATGAAAAATCCAGGGTCTTTGGTGCTGCTGTGTTGAGTACAACCTCATCATGCCAACGGCGGCTAACGGGTAGTATCGTTATCTTTGGGCTTGCAAACCCTGTGCTGACAAAGGTGACGACAGCCAACAACAGATGGTATTCGGTTGCCCCAACGAGAACAACAACGCTAACTGCCGATGCTTGCACAGGAAGC